GAGTACACGTTGTGTTATATGTAAGGAATCAGTATGTGGGAGTTTTGATTATCAAATGATTAAGAACAGCAGTCTATTTTGTAAGCTTCATTTGGAAAATCGTCTACAAAGAACTTAGTCTATTCTTCACCATATAAGTGGGTGTGTGTGTGTGTGTGGAGGGGTGGAGGCGGAGAATGAGACAAAGGGACACATGAAAATCGTGAGGGTACCTGGGGTCTTGGCTGCAATTAGAGCATTTGCATTTCTGGATTTGGTCTCCTTAAATGTCTGATTGCTGGTTTTGCTTATGTGTAAATACAAGTTGCTGTGCTAAGCAAAAAGAAAATAATTGTAATGGATTCATTTAATCATAATGCTGGAAAGTTTCACTTGTTAGAGCTTTAGACTTGCAGATGAGGCTTTCCCTGGGGTTGCCTGTCTTGATTGTAGTTGCTAAGCCTGACCTACTTACCAGCTTTTAAAGGTGGCTTAAAAGGCTCCCAGGATACAGCATACACTGAACGCCCAACAGAGATAACTTTCCATAACCCGGGATTCATTTGTAGGGCATTTAGGGACCATGTATTATGTAAGCTAAGCATGTTCATGCTTGTCACTTTCACCTAGGCATGAGTCACAAAGTTAATTCTCAAAACCAAAGTCTCACATATTTATCAGCCAACTTTTTAATGCGGAAGCATAAAAACAAAGGAAGAAACCAGAAGGTTTGCCAAACATGTTCAATTGATCAGATCTTGAGCAAATTTGAACTTGATATGGTAGAGTGCAAGCAGCTGGGTCTATTACGTGCTGTGTAGTCACATGTGTGACTCCTTAGAGACCCAGCTTGGGTCTTCTCCAGTTGCTTCTTTTGGAGTGGTATCTGATTTTTTTTTTTTTTTTTTTTTTTTTTTTTTTACCAGTTTTCACTCCAATCTACTAAGGAATGGGGGGGATTCTGCTTTTGTTTCTTGACCAGGAATCTCTTTATATTGACAGTCTTATGAATAGACATAGTGTGAAGATGAAACATAGCAGCACTCACACAATAGTGAAGAAAGGAAGAGTTGGACTAACGATTCTTAACAATAGGATAGTTAAGAGTGTTTTCAAATCCAAATGCATTTTGTGTGATAGAGTGTGTTAGGCATAAATGAGCAAATTAATAGACGAAAGCCATATCACTACATCTCTGGAGTTTGGGTGTGATGTAATCTAGAACTTACATGTGTGAACGCCTTCTCTGATATAATCAGCTTGTTCCTCCTGTTGTTGTTAAGTGCTGTAAAGTCAATTCTAATTCAGAGCCATTCTGTATAGAGTTTCTAAGGAGCAGCTGATGGGTTTGAACTGCCGGCCGTCAAGTCGATTCCGACCCATAGCGACCCTGTACAGGGTTTCCGAGGCTGTAAATCTTTACGGGAGCAGAAAGCCTCATCTTTCTCCCACAGAGCGGCTGGTAGTCTAGAACTGCTGACCTTAAGGTTCGCAGCCTGATTCATAACCACTATGCTACCAGAGCTCTTTTAGGACTGGGTTAATGATACAGATGAAAAGAAATGATATTGATTGACCTTTAAATGAATCATGTCTTTTAACAGAAATCAGTCAAGAGTTTGAGCTGTTTACACCTACCTGTCTCTCAATTTGTACATCACTTAGTTACTGACAAAATAGTATGAGTAATTGACTATTTTTCCTGTGAACCTAAGACATGAGAATTCTAGCTGATGCAACAAAGTAAAATGCTCTCTTCTCAGCTGTCACACTTTCAAAGTCCCTGTGGAGCTCCACCCAGAATGGAAACTGAACGCTTAAAACAACCCTGGAATTAAAACAGAAGTGGCCTTTAAATGAAAAGAAGTAGGAAGCCAGTTGAAATCAACTCTCAGTGATTGGTGCAAGTGAAGGAGAGTAGAGAAACTATTTAAAGTTATCAGCAAAACAAACTCGTGTTTTTCTTCCCCAGCATTCCGATTCTTGATTGTTGTTGTTAGGTGCAGTCTAGTTGGTTCCAACTCAAAGTGACGCGATGCCCAACAGAACACAATACTGTCCAGTCCTGCATCATCCTCACAACTGATGGTGTGTGTGAGTCCATTGTTACTCCAACTGTGTCAATCTGTTTCATTGACCTTCCACTTTACCAAGCATGGTGTCCTTCATCAGGGACTGGTCCCTCCTGACAACATCTCCAAAAAGCAAAGACAAAGTCTCCCTATTCTCACTTCTCAGTAACAATCTGGCTGTAATTCTTCCAAGATAGATTTATTTGTTCTTCTATGGTAATTTCAATAATTCTTCACCAATGCCATAATTCAAATGCATAGTTTCTTCTTCAGTCTTCCTTATTCATTGTCCAACTTTCACATGCATAAAGTGACAGCTTTGTTCTTTAACACTTTAAAGAAGTCTTTTGCAGTTTTACCTAAAGCAATATATCATTTGATTTCCAATCTACTGCTTCCATGAGCATTGATTGTAGATTCAAGCAAAATGAAGTCTTTGACAGCTTTATTCTTTTCTCCACTGATCATGCAATTTATTGGTCCAATTGTGAGAATTTTTGTTTTTGTTTTTCTTTCACTGAGGTGCAATTCACACTGAGGGCTGCAGTTTTTGGTCTTTATCAGTATTTCAAATCCTCTTCACTTCCTGGAAGCACTACTGTCATTTGCAGGTTGTTAGTAAGTCTTCCTCCAATTCTGATGCCATGTACTTCTTCATATAATACATATTCTAGGATTATATGAACATTACTTATAGCTTCTAAACCCGATCTCACTCTCTTTCCCTTTTTCATTCTCCTTTTGTTCTTACTTTTCCTGTTTCTTCCATAATACCTCTTTGTCTCTCTCTTCCTCTGTTGCCCTTCCATTCTCTTCTCTCTGCTCCTGATTCTTCAATTCTCACCTAAAATTCATTGTTGAGTCTGAGACTATAGTCCCTAAGATCCAAGGGCCTTTATATAACCACATGCCTGTGACTTCTTAAGAATTCCGTATGTTGGTTGTACGTTTGAAAAAACTTTTATACTTGCTTCTTCTTCTGTGGTCTATCCATCAATTTCTAATTCTACTCTGAGTTTGTTTGTTTCTTAATTGTCTTCCAAACCTATGATATTATGAAAATTTAGTGAGGCAAGAAAGGTGAGAGGAAGATTTGGAGACTATTCTAATTAACCTCATTTTTCCTTATTACATTTACATTGAACAATTCAAAATCATCACATCTTTTGATACCAAAATTACAAAGTTGCCTTTTCACTGGAGATGAAAATTTACTTGATTCCTTGAACCATTCCTTAATGAGACTACTTCCTACTCATCTTTTCAGTGTGGTCTTCTAATTTTCTGAGTACAATCTATCTAATTAAAAATTATAGATTTTCTTCTATTTTAACCTTAATGACTTTGGCGAAGGAATATTATTGTCCCATATACTAGCCAGTCTAGGATGCTTGCTCATCCCATCCGGAAGTGACAGCATTATCATTTTGCATCTGGATTGACCAATCTCTTTTTACTGCAGAGAAGAGATGCACATCCTTGTCCATGTTTCCCAGCACGTTTGTGGATTGCGTTTCCATTCAGACACTGAGCATGTTCATTCATAGGTGCCCATTCTCTCTCCACATAAGTCCCTCCCACCTCATTGCAGACCTCTTTTGAGGGGAGAGATCTGAGGGTGGGTGCTGGCTTACCTAGCAAATGCAGTAGCTTCATAGCCTATCTTGACTTTCTAAAGTACAATTGAACTTGTAATCTAGTTTCTCCAATAAGAATAGCTGAAGATGTAAGACACAATGTTAGACAAAAAATCTCAGTGATGATCGGTTTGTTTGTTTGTTTGTTTTTTAAGGTTTTTATTGTGAATTGAGTGATAGTTTATATAGGAGAACATCGGTTTTACACTCATCATTTCATTGCAGTGATTGCAATCTCTTCCATACATCGTCGTTCAACAATATTTGCTTCTATTCCCTCTGGGTTTTCTTTGTTTGGGATGTACATAAAAACACTCAGGAATATGTAATCATTTAAACAATCAAAGGGCACATTCTGCAAGCCTCCCTCCTGGCCGCCAGCACACAGCCTTTCTCTTTCCAAGAGTCTAGAGTCCTCAGGTGCTCCCTCTCTCCATGTCCTCATCTCTGCCTCTATCTCTGGTGTTGCTGCTTCTCTGGATAGGGTCCCACATTCC